CCCCAAGGGATGACGAGGTCGAAGGGTCATAAACTACTGCAAGACCATTTCAGGCTGGACATAAGGAAGAATTTCTTTACTGTCTGAGCCCCCAAGGTCTGGAACAGCCTGCCATTGGAGGTGGTTCAAGCACCTACATTGAACACCTTCAAGAGTAAAGTGGATGCTTATCTTGCTGGGATCCTGTGACGCCAGCTGACTTCCTGCCCCTTGGGCAGGGAGCTGGACTCGATGATTTTCCAAGGTCCCTTCCAGCCCTAATGTCTATGAAATCTATGAAAAGAGTCAAACTTCTTCTCCAGCACTAAGTGCCCCATAGGCAAGGGTACCTGATGAGCTCCTGCATCCCTATTAGCCCCAAGTGCAGCATATCTGGTAACTGCAGAATCTCTGGGCAATTCCTCCCTGTAGGCTCCTTCCCCTTTGGCTGCTAGCATGGAACTGACTCTCCAGTCCCAGTCCTGGGGTTTGTATGTGCCCAGGGCCCTACCTCTTCAGGTGGTACCTGACCAGCTGCAGGTGCAGGCTAATTCCCTCCTTAGGCCTTCTGCCACAGTAACTTGCACCTGTGGGGTTCCAGCCTGACTGCTAGGGCCCTCTCTCTAGGCAGTTTCTGCCCTTAAAGGAACAGGCACCTTAGTGCCCTGTGACACTAGCACATTGGTAGTTATGAAAGAACGATATGGTCCATTTCAGCTAAGCAGGGGTAGAAATGGTATGGTCAAGGTTAAACTTGGAGCCAAGAGCTCCAGACGACGTGGTTTTTCAGAACAATTCAATTTTCTTGAATCACTGGAAGGTCTTTAGAATACAGTTTCTTAGGTGAACAGGAAGCTATGGAGAGGAAGATACTTGACTAGTGCCATGATCCTTTCTGGGTAACGAGAAGGAAGCAGGCCATGAGAGAAGAGTAGGAGAGCATAGTTAGTTGTACTGCATGTATAAAACAGTGTTAGAGATCTACCGATTACCTTACAATAATCTAACAAAAAGAAGAAAACATTTTAGGTGTTAAAGTGGAGGAAATAAGAGAAGAGGCAGAAGGTACTTGCAAAGGATGGAGGCTGGGGTAGAGTTTGTGGAGTGATTGAGCTGGAAGAAAAAGTAGTCACCAGCTCAGGTTAAAATGATACTTGTGCCTCTGAGTGCAGGATACTTTTCAGGCTGTCAGGTTCTTAGAGCTCACTTGTAGTGATTCTGGGTACATCTACTAATGTGCGTCTATTAACATGCAGCAATAAGCTCTAGAGCTGCCAGGCATACATCTGCACATGTGCCCAGACTGCAGCACATTGAGCTGGACCATAGCAGCCCTGACTGGCAGGGGGCGGAAGGTCAGCTTGCCCGCCCAGGGCTGCTCTGACCAAGCTCAGTGTGCTGCAGAGGGGTTGGCTGGGGCATGAAGGTGCTTCGTTGTGGGGCTAGCTGGCAGGCAGCCCCCTCATTGAAACACCCTTGTGCCCCAGCCAGCCAAGTCATCATCTACACATGGGCTGCTGTGCACAAGCAAACTGTGGAGCAGGGTGGTACTTATACTTGTATTTACAAGTACTACCCTGCTACAGAGTTTATTAGTTTTGTGCACCATAATGGGGGCACACATGGAGATGTGGAGACATTTACTGCACAGTTAATTAGGCAACTGCATAGTAATTCTCATGTAGAGATGCCCTCTGTGTGGCAGATTTTTCCATAGCAAGCAAAATTCAGACATGAACATTTTCTGAGGTGTAGGAGATCTGGTTATATGACCTGTTCCAGGTCCTCAAGCCCAATATCTGTGGGTCTTCTGACCAAACACAGCCTAGAAAGTTCCCTCCAGTCTCCCAGTTAGTGTTTCTTAGTTGTGTTTGTGGCTGTGTAGACATTTTTTTCTTACATATTGGATTCTCTCCCAAGCTAAAAATAGAGTTCTGTGTCTTTCCAGATATAAAGCGCACATTAAGTAACGCAGAGGAATACCTCGATGATGAAGACTCTGATTAGCTTCCTTCGTTATGTCTTAAGAACTATAACCTATGTTGCCTACATCATTCCCAAATCATATCTATGCAACTGTAAGAAGTACCTTGTAACAAAGTCTTGCAATCTCGCAGTATGACAGGTAAACAAAGGGTGAAATAAATTCTTTCCACAGGAAGAACCCACAGGAAAAAATGCCAAGCTTTTTATCAAAGTTTCCTTGGAATCATTTCGCTGGGGTCCCTTCTCCTGTCCTGCTGAACCCACAGATATTCCAGTCTACAGGATTTTCCTGCAGACACCCAGTTCCTCTTGAATAAACTCCTCAAAGGGTCTCCTACCAACATGGCACAGTTCCTAGAAGTGCCCCTTAAGCTGGGTTCCTGTGTGCAGATAGGAAGCCCAATTTAAAAGCAAGCACCAGCAAGAGTCAGTGTTATTTGACAAAAAGAAAATCTTTCAGGTACGAGATAAAATATTGATGCAGTGAATATGTCCATCTTCTACCTTTGTGGATCTGAAAGAGACAATGTAGGGGTTCTGTATTTCCATTTTGTGGGACTGGAATAACATGGGAATATCTGTTTCTGAATAATTTCTCTGTTTACTGCTATGGGCCCAATCCTGAAATCTTTACTCAGGCAAAACTCCCTCTGAAGTCAGAATTTTGCATGAGGAACGAACTCCACTTTGGACTCAGTAACTTGATTATTTTGCTGTTTGAGGTGCATTTGTGTTGAAAATCATTAGCGTTGAGGTGAAGAGCGAATATTTTTCTATTTATCTTGCCTAAAAATTTTACTGATCTTTTGCTTTTGTTTTGTTGTTTGTTTTTAAATGTTCTTGTATTTTTTTTCTAAATCACTTTACTTTTACCTCAAAGTGTTTTGAAAGAATGAGGGAAGATTTATATTAAACCAAAAATACCTTTAGAAAAAATGCCTAATCTGAATAAACACTTTAAAAAGATATTGTTTGTTTCCACGATTTCCACAAACACATAAGTTAAAGACACAGTCTGTGTACACTGAATGCCAAATCACATTTATCATCAGATTGATTAACATTGTGTGCTTTTCCAAGGCCTTGGATGATACCCTTGCAATAATAGGCCAGAGAAGCAGGAAGACTTGCATTAATTCAACAAGATGAATATCTGCTAGCAGTTGCTTCATGGCTAAAGGATTTAAAGGTCCTGTGAAGCTCACAGGGTACTACGTTTTCAAACTCATAAGCAGGGATCCTGGTTTTCTTTGATTTAAAACAAACAAACGCAAAAATCCATATTTTTCCATGATTAAAATGAGACACCACTAATATGTAGATATAAATATAGTGGCGTTTCATTTTAATCATGGAAAAGTGTGAATTTTGGGTTACTTTAAAACTGAAAATTGGGGATTTTTAATTGGAGAAAACCAGGATCCCTGCTCATAAATCATAGTAACTTCTACCTCTGTCTTTCTAGGAAGTTGTGTTCTTTCCTAGAAGTTACATGTATCAATAGCCCTGCTTCCATTCTCCTGGCTCCCTGCAGCTGACTTCAGAGAATTATCGAAAAACAGGGAGATTACTTAGTACGGCTGTGCAAAGCTTCAGATTGCACTTCAGATCCAAGGACAGTTCGGAATCTGAAGCAGCATACCCTGAGTAAAAGTGAAAGTTAAAAGAGGGAGGGAGAATGGGGGTGGGGGGAGACTGAAGGATTTCTCTCTAGCTGTCTTTCCAAATGACAGTGTCTGTGGGGAGGGACCTAGAAACAGCTAAGTTATTTTACTTGTTGTCATGTAAAGCAGTGAACCGGACCTGAGGCTGTAGGGGAGGAGACCTCACTGGGGCACACTGTCGTGTTGTTCAGTAGCCCCCGTGCCAGGAAGGGTGCACCTTAACATACACACAGTGTTGCCCACCCACATCACAAGTTTTGCCTGTTAGCAGCCAGGAGGTGCAGGGCCCAAGAAGCCAGACTCCCCCAGCGCAAAACACACATAGCTGGCAGGCTTTGTGGCCTCACCAGGGGCTACGACCCCTGCAGTTTTCACCTCCCTCTGGTGTAACACATGACATGAGTTTTGCTATCAAGAATTTGGGGTGCAGTTCCCCCCAAACCTCTGCACTTATCTTCTTGACATCCTAAGTGGCCGGATCCGAAGCTGGATCAAATACCTGCCTACTCGCGCAGGCCTATTATCCAGTCTCCCCCCCCCCCCACTTTAAGGCAAGATTGTTCCTATTTGAATCATCCTGGTCATGTTCTTGTCTAACCTACTCTTAAGAACTGCCAGCCATGAAGATTCCACAACCTCTAAGTAGTTTGCTCCAGTGCTTAGCCATCCTCAAAAGTTCTTCCTCATATAGAACCTAAATTTCCCTTGTTGCAACTTAAGACCTTTTTGCCCTCTTCTGCAGATACAGAATAGCCTGTCATAATTCTCTTTATAAGAGCCAGGAGGGCTTTGTATTTAAAGACTTATCAAATCCCTCCTCAGTCTTCTCTTTTCTAGACTGAACAACATCAATTTTCCAGGCTTTCTTTGTAGGTTATGCTTTTTAGACACTATATGCATGTGTACAGATTTGTAATCCAGACTCCTTCTAAATTTGTCCACATCTTTCTTGAAATGCAGTGCCCTAAATTGAACACCAGTAGTCAAAGTGATACTTTACCAGTGTTGAATAGAGTGGAAGCAGACCCTATGACAGGAAGGGCATGGAGGTACAGTTGTACCAGATTCCCAGCCTGACATGTATAAAATAGAAGTACTCTAGACATCGATTTCAAAACATGAATTCATTTTAGAATACAAGTAGAATTTCTGTTTCCAAAAGGGAAGGTGCAGGAGCCCCCCTTCCAGGATATATCATGCTCCCAAGAGTCTTGCTTAGGCCCCAAGTGGAATAATCACTTCTCATGAGTAAATATGATACACACTTCACTCAACTTCCTGCAAGTTGCTCAACTACAGCCATAGAGAAAATAAAAGGGCAGAATACTGCTTTAAGAAACATTATGTATCTATGAATCTATACTCCAACCCAATCCATGGTACTTCTTCTCCAGAACCTATGAAGTCCTGCCTACAAATTGGCAGCTATTTGGGGCTAATTTGTAACGTACTATTAAGGCAAGAAGCGACAGAGATGCCAACAGGCTCAAGAACCCAGCTTTAAACATCAGTTTTCTCAAAGATGTATTTTTCCTTTCCTTCTTAAAGTAAAAAGGCATGGTTGTGTCATGACACAGTTGGAGGTCCCACCACCATTTCTGGGAGCAGGCTATAGTTATCTATAAAACTGCATTTCACCTCATACTTAAAAAGGAGGAGAATTCACTGTAGGATTTGGAAACTTCTGAAAAAGTGGCTAGTTTCCAGTTTGTAACAAGACAGCTTTCAGTGTCCTTTTAAAACAGCAATCATTTTACTATTTCGTGATTTTGAATTCAGAGATTTATCCTGTCACACACCTCAGACTATGCTGTGCATAGGATGATTGTAGTTTGAGGGGAATCTGGGACAGGGTAAGGAAGTTGGGGCAGGAAGAGCCCCAGGGGGTGTGCACATGTATGCATGCACACCCCTCTCCCCCAACCCCCACGGCTCCCAGGACCGGGGCTGGGCAGAACAATGCAACGCATGTGTGCACACGACCTCAACTCCACGGCTCCCAGGAACAGGGCTGGGCAGGACATTGTGGTACACATGTAGCAGTTGCTGTAAAGCCCCTGGAGCCCCTGCAGCCCTCACTTTGTAGGCAATTACCCTTCATTTGTCCAGCACATCTTGATGTTAATTACTTTTACAAGGGTGGCTACCCCAGGGCTTCCCAAATTGCTTTTAAACCGAGCACCAGGTGCAAGTGGTCTGCACCTTTTGGGCTAATTGCATGGCTCTGTTCCTCCCCTACACCATGCCCCATGCCTCACAGACAATATCCTCATTGATGTTTTCTTTCATTTAAGCTCCCTTCTGGGGTTCCTGGACCCTCGCTGATCCCACACTCTCAGCTTTTCACTAGGCTTTGGAGCCTTCCCTGGATCCCTAGGAACTTCCTCCTCCCCTTAGTTCATCCCCAAACCTCCAGACTGCTTTAGGTGTTCTCTCCAAGCTGGCCTGGAGCTGCAGCCACCCTGCTGAGATGTTCTCTTGGCAGGCTCCAAGATGTTACTGCTGGCTCATCTCAGCACCTGGACTTATATCCTCTGGCTCCCTGGGTCAGCTGACCACTCATTTAGCCCTGGCCCACACCTGCCAGTGGCTTCACAGGCTGCCTGGACTCTTAAAGTGGCAGGCACCCCAACCCCATAGCTCCCCACATGCATCCCAACCCCAGCTCTGCTGCACAAGTGACTCCACTCGCAGCCCACGGGAGCCTGGACCAGAAAGCAGTCCATTGGCCAGGCTCCCTAGAGAAGATTGAAGCAAAAAGTCCCAGATGGCCTGCACCTGCCCTCAGGAGCTGCACATACAGGGGGGCTCCTGCCAATCCAGAACTTTTGCTCCAATTTCCTCCCACAGCCAGGATGCCGAGACAGCCTTTGAAGTCCTGGACTGTCCCAGCCAATCCAGGACATACGGTCACCCTAGTTATAACCATGCAGATCTTCTAATCAAAAGGCAACAGGACTGTTTTTTTAGGATAGAGGCTGCTTTTTGTGTAAAATATATCCTCCTACATTTTTTTCTTTACATTCTGGAAGAGTAAAAGTCCAAAAAGTTTTCTACTTTGCTAGCTACACATTTAGAGGTAAGGGAACTAATAAATTCTTCATTTCATTTGTTGAAGCTTAGAATTGTTCTAACTAGCCAAGCCACTAAGCCTAAACTACTGTTTTTGTAACGTTCATACACACACAAATACCACTCTACATTAAGCTGTTAAGTGACTAACTGACTTGAAACCAAGTTGGCTTTTATCATTTAAAAAGAGAGACCAAACTGTAGTTCTGAGTTGTACAGATCATGTGGTACCATTTCAAATACAATATTGTAGTTATACATACATTATAGTTCTGCCCCAGTATAAAAAATTGGAACGTAAGAGTTGTATTAATGAATTAATCTGGTCATTGATAATTCCTGCCACAACACAGATCATTCTGTATGAGAAGCCTTTTGTTTTCAGTGGTTGGCTTCTTTACATTAAGGTTTTTTGCGTGTTTGTTTTAATGCAAGAAAAAACAGAGATATTAGGCTATCAGGCCATGTGTAGACAAAATGGGGGTGGGGAGGGGGAGTGTTGAACAGTAAGAGGCCATGTATGCGCCATGTGACTAGAGGCGAAAAGTTTCTAGAGGGTTTGAACTCTCACTCTTGATGTAGTCATGACCTGCTTTTAAGGTTTGGGCATGCACAGTGTATAATGGTAACGCAACTGTTTATCAAAGTTGATATGTTACCTAATAAGGCAGCTATGATAATGTTGCTTGTATCAAGTTGAAATAGTGTACACTGACTGGTCCTTTTAAGTATTGTCCAGATTTGAATTTGATTTGGGTATTGTGAAAAGGGTGATGATTGGATCATTGGGTGAGTGACAGGTGGTACGATTAGAAGGCTATGAATCCTGTCTGGAGCAGCAAGCAGAGGCGCGCTCTTACTCAGGCTGGACAGTTCTGACTCCGGGTTCTTGAAGCGTAGGAGTTTGTTGAGTGCAGTTTCCTTGCTGTGACCTGTTCATTTGGAAGCTACAGCTGGGTAAAGTATCACCCTTTCCTTATTTGAGGTGCTGAGTACCTAAGCAGGGAAAAGCTAGAAATCCTCAAGGACTAGCAGAGGGTTTCTCCTGCTGACTAGGCCCAGGGTGTTCTTGCTGCCATCCGTGATTTCTGGGTTGTCTGTCAAGTTGCATAGCACTCAACTGGGTAGTGACTGAAGCTCATTGTAATGTGTAGTTGATTGGTTGTGTGACCAGGGACATTGGGGTTGGGAAGTATCGGGTTATTGTCCCATTGGGCGTAGT